ATTTATATATTTTTATTAAAATTAAAATAACAATTTTATAACAATTTTCTGTCATTATTGAATTTATATAAATGGTTAAATTATCCTTGTTAAAAATAAAATAATTCACAAATTTAGTTTAAATAATCACAAATTTTTTTTTATATTCGTAATAGTATAATAATAAATTACAACTTTATATGTTAAATTATTAATTTATTATTATATTATTGTGAATATAAAATGACAGAATAAGAATTTATTTGATTTCAATTAAAAAAATGACAGAATAAATAAAAAGAAAGAAAGGCAAATAAATAAGTATGATGGTGGCTTTAAAGTAATGAATTAATGTGCTAGACAATGTCTACAAGCTTGCGAGTTAAAAATATATGACATTTTGAGGTTTTTTTTTTCTTTTTTTTGCTCCTGTGTCAGTTAGTGTGCGCTAAGTAATTATACAAAGAAAATTATGAGTATTAGTTGGGATCGAAGGAAAAAAACAAAAACTTTAGACAATTTGAAAAAATTTGATTTCAAAGTAAAATCGGAGCTTACAAATTATTTATAATGAAAAATCAAAGTCAGAAATGAATATGGTACAAGTTTCAGTATGAACTTAGTATGTTATATTGTGATGGTTATTGGCTGTGGTATAAGTGACAGCCGTGAGCCACATGTTTTTGGGACTTCATTGTTGAAACCGATCAATATACCACTTGGAATTTAGATTCAGTAAGTGCCTTAATTAAGTTACACTCATTCAATGATTATCTTATGTAATGTGATAATTTAACTGAACGGTGATAAAGTATTTTGTCACCAAATCTCAAAATTTTCAAGATCATTGTTTATATGTAAAAAAATTCTTTGATTATAAGGATTGTTTTGAACTTTTGAAAAGAAATATATTTTATTAGCTCTTAAGCATTGTTAATATTCAATAACTATATTTGAGGTACTTATTGAATGAGTAGATTTAGGCCATTCACTATATTTGAGATCGAAAAATGCAATAACGAAGAAGGGTAAAATTGTAAAATGCCCTATCAAATTTCAATTAATGATCAATGTTTCCTATATTTAACAATGGGCAAAAATGTTTTATTTTTGAAACTTTCAAAGTAAAAAATTTTATGATATTAGGCGCTCTTGAAAAAAAAGTTTCAAAATATTTTTATTATGAGACTCTTTTTTTTAAGAGTCAATGAGTGAATAGAACTCTGAACTCTTGCTCAAAATTCGTTGTGAACGCTGAACTCTTAAAATATATAAAATAAATTTTAAACTTTTAAATTCATAACAAAATAAACTTTGACAGTTAACTTTTTAACACTTTTACTGTTTACACAGGTATTGTTCAGAATTTATTTTCTTACAAATTTAACCATGACTATTATAGTATCCATGTAACCAGTAATAATATTAAAAAAGTTAATGATTAGAATTTATTTATTATAAATTTAAAAATTTAAAATTTATTTTATATATATTAAGAGTTTAGAATTTACGGTAATTTTCGAACAAGAATTCAAAATTTTATTGACTTATTAACTTTTTTTTTTTTGAATGAAGAGATTCCTCCTTCACTTTAATATAGAGGAAATTATTGATGCATGCGTTTAAAGTGAAGGGGAAATCTAATTTATACACTTTTAACAAGGCATGCTCTATGAAAGCTGGCAGCCATTATTGCATTGCTTTTCGGGCGAAAATACCTTGCTTTTCATATTGATCCGATTATCCCATCACATGTGAGCAGAGAGGAGTCTAGTATATGTACACCTTCGCACAATCAATAAAATTAAGGAAAAAAAGTTCATGTATGAATTCCTATTGAAAATATTAGAAAAAATGACCTCAATAGTTTAAAACGAAAGGAAATTTTTGCTTCTTTTAAAAATAATTTTAAAAAATATTTAACTTATTAATACAAGCTGCTTAACTCTCCTCAAAGAAAAGTATAGGATCAAAAATGTAATTTAATTCTTAATTATAAGCTTGCTAATAAGTTTAGTGTTAATGTTGGCAAGGTTGAGAAAACTATTGCATGCTCTTTTTAATTTTATATTTAAATCAGCTAAAACTATCTCACAGATAATTACATTATCTATAAATGAATCATCTATAAAAAAAGTACTTTCTCTCAGCATATAAAGTAAGGCACCATTTGGGTAATTACCGTTTTGCATTTCAAAAGTAATTTTTTTCTTTTGAAATGTAAAATGTTGTTTGGAATAATTTTATAAGAGTACATGTACTTTTTAAAATGACTTTTCAACCCAGCTGAAACATAAAATTTTGAAAGTTTTATTGGGTAGCTTTTGAAACAAAAACGTAGATATGAAGCATTAAAGATTGATACCTAATTCTATATTTGACTATAATATCCTCAATTATTTTCTTATTCTTACCGTGCAACCGCCTTTGTCTTCACTAATTCATTCCCATCTTCACTTGAACTCCTCATTTTTTTACCAGACTTGAGTTTTTTCAAAGGCTTGGCTTTTTCACCTCCACACCCAAAATATTAATCTCTGACGGAAGGAAAAATAAAAGCACTAGGAAACAAATCAAAACGAAAAGGTTTTATAGATTGAAAATTAATAAATAAATAAAATGCATAAATAGTAAATAATAAATAATAAAATAAATAATAAATAAATAAGTAAAATACATAAATAGTAAAATGATTACATAATTTATTCCAATATTAAATTTTATATTTTTATCCTTGCATTTTTTAAACATTTTTAATATATTACATTGTATAATAAAAATTATTAATTATCATAAATCAATGTCCTTTTTAGTTATTGCATATTCAAAAGTATATTTTAAAAGCTCAAATTTTTATTAATTCAAACAATTTTTAGTTTGTCAAACTGACTTTTAATAAAATATATTAAAACACAAATTTCATTACAGCAAGTGATTTTTTTAAATTAACTTTTATTAAATGAACTTTTATCAAACTAACTTTTGACAAATTAAAAACTAAATACACACTAATTAGTAAATACTTGAAGTGCTTTCTAAATAATTTAATATTGGAAACATATAACTCTTGGTTAATCTACTTTAATCATGTTTTGTGTTTAGTGATAACATTAATTCTTTTAAATTTAAAAATAACCATAAAAATACTGAGTTGGTCCAAACAAAACACGAATAAAATATATAGAAATAGGAGTCAGACTGATTTTCCTAGCGTTGGGTCCTCCAACTTCATTGTCGTACATGGCATTTGGACATCTTTTCAACGTTCAAATTATAAAAAGAAGAGACGACACGCCAATATGATAAAGCAGTACATGAAGCAGGGTGGCCAACCCATGCATTATGCCTGTACAAAAATCCTCGTGTCACATCCGATTAAGTCGAACTAAAGATGATCTTATCTTGTTCGGTTTTTTTAAATATTGATCCTTTAAAACTAAAAATATTAAAAAAATCAGACTATTTTTTAGGTTAAACTAAATAGAAGATTGAGTATTTAAATTACTTAATTTAATTTAATTTTATTAATTTATTTAATATAATTATAATTAATTTATTTTTAACAAATGCTTCAAATGTAAATTATGTCAAGAAAATAATTGCATGAAGATTTGTTGAGTTTGTTTTTAAATTGTTGTTATAATATAATATTGTTGAAGTTCGTTGAATATTGCTTTTGTTAAAGTTATAAATTTAAATTATTTAGATTGTAATTGAGATATCTTTTTCTTATTAAAAATTATTTTAAATTTATTATGATTATAAGTGATCTTATTATCTTAATTGAGTTTATTAAGTTAAAATAAATTGTTGCTTCTTATGGAGAAAAAGTAAAAAAAAAAAAATAAGTGAGTATTGAACTAACAAGATCAGTCTCCCAATCTTATAAATCAAGTTTGGTCCTGTTAATTTTTGAGTTATCACTAGATGAGGCTGAACTATGGATTGTCTAACCTAATCTTTTTTACAAAAGAGACCAAACTTTGGGTTAAGTCAAAATCTTGTGTCATCTAATTCTTTGCACAGCCCTATCATACATCATAAAAAATCATGAAAATATATTTAAATTTACGTATAACATTAATTAAAAATTTATGATAGTTAATTACAAGTCACAAGTCAATTACTTATAATTTTTTACTTTTAATATATAAATAAATTATTTAAAAAATTTATAAAATATATTTAGAATTATTTATAATGTTAATTAAGAATTTATGAAAGTTGATTATGAAAACCAATTACTTATTATTTTTTGGCATCATTTAAAAAATTAACAAAAAAATACTTAAAAAATTTTATAGTATTAATTAAAAATTTATAAAAATATGTTGTGATTTAAGTCCATCAATAAAAATTAATTTATTATAAGCAAAAATTATAGTAAGATTTTAATAGTTCAAAGTTTATTATTGGCATTGTCCATCCTTAATTGTCGTTTTTCGCTTTTTCTCATGTTGGGCGTCCCAACTTCATTGCCCTACACGACATTCAAACATCCTTTCAACGTACGCGTTCAAATTATAAAAAGAAGAGACAAGACACCAATATGATAAAACAACACATAAAGCACAGCAGGGAGGCCAAAATATTAAAATAAAATTGTCAAAAATAAATTACCAATATAAAATATAAAAATAATTAAATGAAATCATATTATATATATATATATATATATAAATTATAAACAAGTGTAACACACTTTCAATTTCTTATGATTTAGGAGAATTAGATTTAATATATCCATATATATTCAATTTCATAAAAGTAATTGAATGATCAATTAATTTTATATATAGAAATATGATTTTCTTTTACAAGCAAGGCTAACCATCAATTCAAATAAAATTGATAGAAATTATGTAGCGGTGTTTTAGACAAATAATGGCAAAACTATTTTGTATAATTCGTAAGTAATGTAAATTATTGTAATTTTTCCATGGTTGGGGCTTTCAATTTAATTGTGAAAAATAAAACATAAGAGTGAAACTAATCCCACAGGAGATAGTCAAACATTTCTCTACGCCAACCTCAAACATTACTCATTGCATTTCTATACTCTCCTTCTCAATTTCGATCTTCAGTACTTTTTCAATTTGGTGCATCCAACAAAACATGGCTGACTTCATTAATCCAGTCTTTGAGATCCTAACTTGTTTGTGTGGTTATTGCGACAAACGAGTAAAATCAATACGCAAGCTTGGAGAGGAGCTCAACTCTTTGAGAAATGCTTCAAATCAACTCAATAGCATGTACCTTGACGTCAAGATGAAGGTAGAAACAGCACAACAAGATCCAGATCCGGAGCTGATGGTTTTGAATGTGGTAAAGGATTGGATGGGCAAAGTTGAAGACCTTCTAGAAGAAGTCCAGACCATTCTGCATGAAGGTGATCAAGCAATGCAATCTAAGTGCTTTGGAGGTCGCTGTCCCAAGAATTGTCGAGCCAGATACAAGCTCTATAAGGTGGTTACCAAGAAGTTGAATGACGTCAATGATATTATAAGCAAAGGGCAATTTAGTGTCGTAGCAGAGAAGTTTGCTCATGATCGGTTTGATGAACTTCCTGTGGATAAGGCTGTGGGTATAGAGTCAACATTTGAGGAGCTACGTTCGTGTTTTGAGGACAATCAAGTGGGCATCATTGGCTTGTATGGAATGGGCGGGGTGGGCAAAACCACTCTACTTAGAAAATTCAACAATGAGGTCCTTTCAACCAAAAAACAAAGTGTAATCATTTGGGTTGTGGCGTCTAAAGATGCAGATCTTGTAAAAATTCAAGAGGACATTTGGAAGAAATTGCATGTCCTAGATGATAATTGGGATAACAACACGGTGGAAGGAAGGGCTCTTTTGTTGTACAATATCTTAAAGAAGAAAAACTTTGTGTTGTTATTAGATGATGTGTGGAAAAGAATTGATCTGTTGAAATTGGGGGTTCCTTCCCCTAATAATTATAAATACTGTAAGATACTATTTACGACTCGATCAAAAAAGGTATGCAGCTTAATGGGAGGACAAAGACACATAAAAGTAAGCTGTCTCACACCTGATAAAGCTTTTGAGTTGTTTAAAGAGAAAGTGGACGAAACAACTCTTGAACATCCCCATATATTGCACCTTGCAAAACAAGTTGTGGAAGAATGTAAAGGATTGCCACTGGCTCTTTGTACTGTTGGACGTGCCATGGCTAATGTGGTGACTCCCAATGAATGGAACCGTGCTGTAGATATTTTGAAGAGCTATCCCTCAAGGTTCTCAGGTATAGTTGAAGAAGTATATCACTTGCTTGAATTTAGTTATGATAGATTACCAAACAATGCCCACAAATCATGTTTTTGTTATTGTTCCTTGTTCCCTGAGGACCATAGCATTGAAAAGAAAGAGCTTATTTTGCTTTGGATAGCAGAAGGTTTTTTGGCTGAATTTGATGGTGATATACATGAAGCACGGAAGCAAGGAGAAGATATAATTTCAAGTTTGCTATACGCTTGCTTACTTGAAAATGGTGATAGAGAAAACACAATTAAGATGCATGATGTCGTCAGAGACATGGCTCTCTGGGTGGCATGTGATCATGGGAAAAAGATAACATTCTTTGTAAAAGATGGCTCGACGACTACTGGCCTTGAAGCATACAATCATGCAAAGTTGAAAGAGATAGAAAGGTTATCTTTGTGGAGTTGGAGTGGAAAGATTCTAAACTTCTCACAAAAACTTCTTTGTCCTAATCTCATCACTATGCTTATCCGTGGTCCTTTGATAGAACGCTTTCCAACAGAAGTATTTGTCCTTTCAAGTACTATTAGAGTGCTAGACTTGTCATATAATAGGGGAATCACAAATCTACCACCAACAATTGGGGACTTTATAAACCTAGAACATATGAACCTATCCTATACAAGCATAAAAAAAGTGCCAGAGGAGTTGAAGAATTTGAAGAAGTTGACGCATTTGTTGTTGAACTGTATTAGAGGCTTTGAATTCCCAAGAGAAATTATATCCAATTTGTCATCTCTTCAAGTTTTTAGTATGTTCACTTATAGAACAGATATAGATTATGGTGTTGATTTATGGTTGGATGAGCTAGAGGGCTTAGATCATCTTCAAGCTATACACATTTATATTACCAGACTCTCCTCTATTCAGAAAATATTGATCTCCTCAAAATTGCAAAGGTGCATGTGTCATCTAGATGTTTACTATGAATCGGATACAAGCTCAATCCACGAGTTGCTCTCATCACTTCGAAAAATGGAGCATCTTGAAACATTACAAGTTTCTTTGTCCCAAAAAACATTACGAGATTCGGACCTCATCAGTAGACTAGCTGACTTTGAAGGCAAAACATCAGAGCATATAGAAGCTGCAAATATTTCAAGGAGCTTATATTGGGGCGTGAATGTACAATCACCCTTCGCCAGTTGACTCTCGTAGGGTGTCGAAATATAGTTGACTTGAATTGGCTTATACATGCTCCAAACCTTGAATTCCTTGATGTGAGTGAGTGTCATTCATTGGTAGAAGTTATAACTGAAGATTTTGGGGCTGCTGACACTAGGAGAGTAGAAAGTAATCCTTTTTCCAGTCTCACTGATTTTTATCTGAAAAAACTGAGCGAGTTAAGGAGCATTTGCAGCATGGCATTACAATTTCCTTGTTTGAAGTATGTTGAAGTACGACGCTGTCCCAAATTGAAGAAGCTCCCATTTGATTCTCAAAGTGCATTGAAAAGTCTACAGACCTTTTACGGAAGTGATGGCGTGTTGGATCAATTGCAATGGGAAGATGAAGCTACCAAACATCTTCTCGTCTCAAAATTTTCAATAGCTGGTTAGTTTTTTCAGGTATTTGCCATCAGGTAAGTTTTAGAGTAAACTTATTCTCACTTTAATGCAAATGCTAATGTTTTATGATTGATCTAATTAAGCAGTGCATGCATATAAATATTTATCATGTGATTATTATATTTGTGAAGAATTTATCTTTTCCAAAATTTCATACGCATTGTCGTGTCTTAGCTTGATGATAGTTTTAAAACGTTTCAATTGCAGAATTTTTCATTAAAGTACATATAGTATATGAGAAAATTTGATATCACGATTACCTGCACCTGTGTAGTTTATTCTGGACTTTTATAGAACTGCATTAAAAATAAAGAGAAATATTTAATTTGACATATAAATCCGTTCGTGCTGTATTTGTTTTATTTAACCAACAATCTGGTTGTGCTATATTATTCGGCTTATTGTTTCTATGGGTTACTGATAGTGGGTTTAATGTACTTTAAAGTTTTAGCTTGGGCCTCTAAATGGGCTGTTTCTGCTATTTAGTTTGGCTGAAAAAATATGTATAATTCTTTTTTATACGTAAAAAACCATTAATGTATTATATATTATATGCAAAAAATCTATTAAGACTCACACGAGGAATAAAATGGTTTAATCTTTCAAAATTTTGGAATAATTAATTAATTTTTGAATATAATTCATCAAAGATATTTTTTTTTTCCCCCAACAATTCATCAAAGATATTCAAGGAGCCAACTTTGAATTTTAACCCGTATTCAAGATCTAATATTTTAGTAAATAATTTATGCATGCAAATTCTCGTGTGTAAATATATGTACATATATATTAAAAAATTGCATATAACTATTTTGGTAAGAAAATTACACATACATTCAATTATGGATATAATAATATAATAATATTTTTTTAAAAAAACAACACAAGATAATTTTGAAGAGACTAATGTGCTGTGAACTACAATAAGTTTCTTCTTAGTTGCTTTGTTTCAATGGATTTTTATTATATTTTGGGTACATTTAGTAAGTATTCCCTCTTATTTCTATTATAAGAAACCTCTAACTTCCTTACTAGAATTGATGAGAGATGGTTAAGTTATTTAATTTGTCTAAAAATATGATAAACTTTTAATTTTATCTATATTTAAATGAAAATTTTTCAAATTTGTATTACACTATGTCTCATAGTTAATGAGTTTAAATATAGATAATATTAAAAAAATATAATTAATACTACATCAAATGTCTTATATTAAAGATCATCAATTTTTTATAGAAGATGGCTTACAATGATAAGAAATGGAGTAGTTCATATATATCAAATTTAATTTTGAGGATCTATCCTGAGTTTATTAAATCTTCCATACCTATCTGTTTGCATTTTCTCGCTCATAGAGAGCTTGTTTTCTCTTTTATAGTTGTAATGGGACATTCTGTTTTTATGACATCTTTCATTTTGGAAAAAAAAAAAATTCAATAACAAACTTATTGCTTTATATAATCCAGAAAAAAATTTAAAATGCTTATACATTTTTAATTTACTGGGAGCCTTCACTAATTAGTTTTTTTTTTTTCGGATCCAGGGATGGATCATTCTAAATCATATTGCAGCTGGAGGTGTTTAAGACTTTTCTCTCTCTGGGAAAAAAACAGGAGGCTCTATGTTGAAAATAAAATTTCTTGAAAAGTGTGTGTGGATAATTGTTGTGCTTGTTTGCTATATCCTCTCAGTTTGTATTATTCTGTATTCTTTCAAGTACCTTTTATTGATATTACATCATTGTGATGTGGTTCTGGGGTTTCAATACTGTTCACGCATAAACAGTACCATAATGGGGTAACTATTTTCTTTTATATATGTCATGATGTATTGCAATGGCAAATTTCATTTGAATATATATATATATATATATATATCATCAGCTTCAAAAAAAAAACTTTTGACAATTTGAAATGATTGATTTCAAGGTGAAATCAGAGCTTACAAATCATCATTTATGAATTCAAAGTTTAGAAATGAATATGGCACAAGTTTTATTATAAATTTAGTATGTTATACTGTGATGATTATTGGTTGTGCTATAAGTGAATCAATGAGCCACATGTCCCTGGCCTAGGAAAGCACTTAATCATCCGACCCAAGCCAATCAACATAGCTTGAAATACTTATAATAGCTGAACATATGGTTATTCCATCTCAGCATTATATTTATGGCTCTCATCAATGTTTAATGGCTATGACTATGAGATTTATTACAACTCACAAGATATGCAAAACTAGAGGATATATCACATTAAAAATTCTTGGGCACAAGATTTGCAGACTCAACAAGAATTAACTGATGTTGTTCTTAATTACTAGCTAGTCATACTCTAGTTGGGAATGGACAGAAGTTAACAATGAAGAGGGACCGACCATGTTTTTAAAATTTGATCTGCCATTGCATTAGTAAAAGGTCGGTTTAACATTCAATAATTCAACTATGGTACTGTAGTCCAACTAGTGTAAACTAAAGTACTACTATCTTGGTCCTCGTTATAAAAAAGTGTCCCAAACATGTTTGTGGGCTGCAACAAGTGGGGAGAATTTTAATAAAGAGCCACCGACCAACTTGTTTTCATTCAAAGTTTTTAAATTTTTAAAATTTTACTATAATTTAGAAGTACTAATTTAATATTAAATTTAAAAAAAATGACAAAATTGCCCCCTTTTCAAATTAATATCAACACTTCCCTACTTCACTTGCTAATTACCCTACTTTACTTGTTCATTTACTTACAGAGTGTTGTTAATTACCCTATTTAAATTTTTTTATTTTAGGTATTTAAATCATTTTAAGACAACTTGTGGATTCCTATACTGTATGATATTCATTTACTTACGGACGATTGTTAACTGTTCTATTTCACTTGTTTATTGCCAGACTTTTACTTAATTTCATTTCGGGAAAATAAACAAGTGAAGTAGGGTAACAACATTTTGTAAGTAAATAAATAAGTGAAGTAAGACAGTCCTAATATTAATTTAAACGAAGGCAATTTTATCATTTTTTTTAAATTTAACATCAAATTAATATCTCTAGACTGCAATGAAATTTTAAAAAATTTAGAGGCTTTGAATTTAAGTAAGTATGATTAAAGAGTCTTTATTAAAATCCTCCCTATAACATGTCGTACAGCCATTGGCAAAACTAGACAATCACAGTGTAGTGAGGGGGCAAATGCAATCCTTTTATTATAAACCAAGTATACAAATTTTACAACTTTGTATCTTTTTTTTTATATTTTATACTTTCTACATTAAAAAAAATATTAGAGTTGAAAAACTTATTTGGTACAGATTGTTGAGAAATCATCTTATATTAATGAAAGTCAAGTAGTTACAAAGGTGGCGCTAGCATGAAACCTATAAGTCCTAGGAACTAAAATGAACATAAGCTGAGTGTATGTGGATTGCGAGTTTGCTGCTGTAGCACCGGAGGCTAAGGGCCTGTTTAGTAATCTGTTTTAAAAATAATTTTTTATTTTTTAGAATAAAAGAATAAAAAAATTTGTTTGGTAATGTGTTTTTAAAATGTGTTTTAGAAAATAAAAAAATAAAATATTTTTTTGAAAAATAAAAAAATAAAAATAACTTTCAGGTGTTCTGAGATTATTATTTTTGAGAATAATAAAAAATAAGAAAAATATCTATTTTTATTTTTTTACTCTTAAAATATGTTTTATAAAATATCAATTTTTAGAACAATAAAATGAAAATAATTTCAAACAGCTCTTGAGTCATTGAAAATGTGCGCGTTTTTTGGGGTATTTGGATCATTAATGATGATCCTTGATCTTTCTCTTGCCTTCTGTCCCTCCTGCAATAATGCTCTTTCTTAAACTTGCAATCATTCCCGTTACTACGTAGGAAACTTATTCCGGATCAGGGTCTCTCTCTTTTCCTTATTATTCCTTTTTTTTTTCCCCTTGTTAGATCAAAACTTTTTAACAGTTTTAATTTAATTTTTGAAAAAATTATTACTATAATTTCACATAAAAATAATTAGATCAAATTTTAATGGTTCAAATTTATTTATATATTTTTATGTAAAATTATAATAATTTTTTCAAATATTAATAAAACGGAACCATTAAAAATTTTAATTTAAGCGTAATGAAAAATGAAAAAAAAAATGAAGTGTAAAAGAAAATGAGAGGCCAAACTTGATAATAAAAAAGCTTGTGTTTCAAGTAATCCGCTATAAAAAAAATGATTTTCAGTGTTGACTTTAAAAAATCGCGATTGAAAATGAACAATCTGTGATGAGAATAAAAGTTTTGACTTTCTACGGTGACATTCAAAGTTGCCGCTGAAAGGGTGACTTTTTGCGACGACATATATAGTCACCGCTAATTGTCAGACTTTCAGTGGTGGTAAATGCATGTTGCCTCCAAAGGTCTAAGTTTCAGCAGCGACATATAAATTGTCGCTGAAAATTGACAATCAGTAGTTACTTTTTAGTATTGTCATAGAAAGTGAGACTTTTAGCGACAACTTTTTAGAGTCGCCGTTGAAAGTAAGACTTTCAGTGGTGGCTATGAATGTCACCGTTGAAAGGTTAATTTTTGTATTATCATCATAATTTTTTATTTTTTGTTTAATCTAATATTTAACATTTTAATACATTAATTTTGTTGTATTATTATAATTTTATAATTAATATGTAAAATAACATAATGAGTTTTCATTTAATATATTTTATAGTTAAATTGTAACTTTAAAATAATGAAATTATTTTAAGATAAGGTTAAGGTATTATTTAATGCTAATAAACCAGAGTAAAAAATTAAGCCAAACCATATTATTTTACGTCAATTTTCGTTATCAAGTAATGTTTGGTTTGATTCAGTCCAACTATTTAAGTCAGTTTGGTTAATTGATTTTAGTCAATTAACACCAAATCTAACTGAATTAACTAATGCATACTCCTATGTGAAATGATAAATTTATTCAAAAACCTAATGTTTGATATTTTAAATTGGGATGCATATAATATGGTAATGAGTCTCTATTTTCAAATGTTTTATAATTAAATTAATATTTTAAATAATAACACTACTTGTTTACAATAATTAGACATGTGATAATTAAATTCATTCATTCGTAGAATGATATTTTATCTAATCTAATTTTTTAGTTTAAATTTTTTATTTAATACTAGTAACTTTAAAGCTTGATACCAGTTTAGATGTTTCTAGTTTGATGGCTAATGATAGAAAAGAGAAAGATGAAAAGAAAAAAAAAGAGATATTCTAAAATTCTACTTTTAATTTTTACAATATATGAAATATATTTATGTATGTGATGCTATATGATTTTTTTTCTTTGATGTTATCTTGTGACATAAATATAAAAAAAATTAGATAATACAGTGTATAATTTTCTTATAAAATTATAATTTAAAAATAAAAAATAATTAAAAAAGTAAAATATAATGTAAAAACAAGTCAATTACATTATTTAAGAATTATTGTTAATTAAAATTAAAAATAAAATTTTAAATAAAACTAGCTAGAAAAATAAATAATTATGAACTAATGTTTAATCATCTATATTTTTTCTATTTATTCTTAGATATTTTTTATATTATAATTATAAATATGAATATTAAAATAAATAATATAATAGCCTCAAGAAGTAAAAAAATTAAAAATAAATAATACAAATGATATTATATCAATTATATTCATAGTTTACTTTAGACAAAATAAATAATATATTTTAAAATTTTAATAAATTAAAAGAATTAAATTGAAGTATTTAATGATAGTAATGATATTTTATAATATTTAATATTTAATATATATAAGTGTGTTTGTATAGTTTAATAATATATTAATATATAAATATATAAATAAATAAATAAATAAATATATATAATTATGCATTGCAGGTTCATTCCAGCTAAGTGGCAAAATAGTGGGACATAAAAGGAGGAGATCATGGGTTCAAACCTTAGAGGAGGTAACTTGTGAAATGAAAATATAAAGGAAAAATGACAATCAAGTCCCAAAGGATCAATTTTATACCAGTTAAGTCCCAACTAATTCTAAAAAGTCAATCAAGTCCCATGCTGTTTTTTCCCAATCAGAATTACAAAAGAAATGATGAAAATGCCCCTATGAGTAAATATAACATGTACACTCATCAGCTCCAACATTTTTCTCTCGATTTGTCTCTTTTCCGCCATTAATAAGAGCTGCATGTAAGCGGTGAAGCTGTACATTGAAGAATACCCATTTCTGAAATAGAGTTATGCTTGGAAGAGGTGAGTTGCCTTAATTATTGACTCAAGGAAGTTTAAGGAGTTGTGCTAGTATGTGTAGACAGGTATTTTTTTTTTTTGCAAATCCTTGCATTTGAATAAAAAGGTTTACTCCATGAAGGTCTGCTTGCAAAATGATTTTCGTAAGGAAAAAGATGGAATGGTTTTCTGCAACTGAACATGAAAGATTTTTTTTATTTCACGTTTCTAAATATTTGGCATGAAGATTCGACATTTTGCAACTGAAAGTGTAAGAAATTATCATCGAGTGTCCATATTTTAAGATGGAATGCTGTCACTGTTTAACTGATGTGAAAATCACTTATGTCAAAAGTAACTTGTTTCTAAGTGATATATTATTATATTTTATTTTATTTCTTGTAGGTTGATATTATTGGGTATGATGGAAAGTAGTTGTTTAAAGGAAATTTTTTGTTATTTTCATTTTGGTGGAGATATTGTAAAAGATATGCATGGGACAATGCATTATGATGGGGGGAGTTGTAATGGAAGAATGACTAGAGAAGGAATGTCTCTTGAAGGACTTGTTAGATTGATTTCATCATGCTTGAATTGTGATTTAAATGGAATAAAGTTGAAGTACACAATGAAGTTTGATTGCAATGCTCTTTTAGACCTTAAAGATGATGAAGGGATAAATCAATTAATGAAATTGAATGATAATTTTGCTCATGTGTACATCATTGGGAAGATACAGCAAAGTACAGAGGCAACAAGAGATTCAATTGATGGGTAAGTTTTTTTTAATAGTTGCATAATTAATATTATACTAATATGAATATGGATGGTAGTAATAAACATGATTTGAATAAAAATGCAGAGCAGGATGTTCAGCTAAGAATTCACATGCTACACAAGAACTTAAAGTTCTACCATGTGCAATACAAAGTATTCCAACACCAATGCCTGAGCTAAATGCAACAAAGTGGAAGGATTTGCTAGTAGAACCTGGGCAGATTTTTACGAGTGCTGATGATTGTAGATAAGCAATCTACAAGTATAGTATTACACACAGGTTTGAATATAAATTTGTGAAGAACAACACAAATAAAATAATTTCAGTTTGCAAGGCAAAAGGATGTCAATAGAAGATAACAGCATATTCATTAAGGAAGTCTATGCCCTTACTTCGTGTAACAACTTTCAAGAATGAGCACTTATATTCTGCCCAAGAAGACCTTGAAGTTTCTTATAGTACAAGGTGCACACTGACTTCATCTATAATTGATGATGCAGTAAGGTCTAATGTGGAAAAAAGACCCAATGAAATCAAAGCTGACATATATAGAGACTATGGCATAAGTCTAACTTATCGTCAAGCTTTAAGAGCAAAAGAGAGGGCATTGGTGGAAATAAATAGGCTTCCTGACCAATCATATATGCTTGTTCCTTGGTTGTGTAATAGACTAATGGAGACTGATACTGACACTGTAGCAAAATGGGTAGCTTCTGAGAACAATAGATTTGAATGTTTATTTATTGCATATGGTTATTCCATTAAAGGATTCTTGTTTGGGGCTAGGCCTATTTTATATATGAATGGATGTTTCCTCAGTGGTCCTTATAGGGGCACCTTACTGGCAGCTTCAACATACGATGCTGATAATGAGTTGTTTCCATTAGCTTTTGTAGTAGTTGGGAGTGAAACTCATGATGATTGGACTTGGTTTTTGCAAAATATTAAAGATATCCTTGGTTCGCTACAGGTAACTATTGTTTTTGATAGAAATAATGCTATTATTGGTGCTGTTAGAGCCATATTTAGTGGTGATAGACATGCATTTTGCTATTGACATGTTAAAGAGAATTTTAGCTCTAAGTTTAACAAAGTTTATATGGGAATGGGAAGGAACAGCAAAGAAGAGGCACTAAAGTTGCTTGATTACATTGTCTGTGCAAGGCATGAGCACGAATTTCATATAGCCATGGGAAATTTGAGGATGTTCTCTCTACAATTAATAAGATGGGTTGAAAATTAAGGCGATGTTGATCGGTGGGCACTATCATTGTTCCCATTTCGAAGATGGGATAAGATAACAACTAACTTGACCGAATCATTTAATGTATGGATTCTTGAGGAGAGGAGGCATAATATATGTGTTCTTATAAATGAGCATAGGGACAAGTTGAGCAAGAAATTTTTTGCAAGTAAGGCAGCCATGAGTAAGTGGAAAAGCATAGTTGGTCCCAATGTTGAAGCAAAGTTGAAGGAAAATTTTTTTAAGGTAGAAGTTATGATAGTTTAGCTGCATGGCTGACATATTGTATTGATTCAGACATCGTGTAGAGATGCATGTGTGAATCTGATACTAAGGGAATGTACATGCAAAGTTTGGCAAATGTCTGGCATTCCTTGCCCACATGCTTGTGCAGCCATTAAAGAAATGCATGGTAATGTGTATAACTATATCAAGAAATTTTATCTTCGTAGCTCATAGGAGAAAATATATAATGGCACTATGTATCCTGTTGAGACCCATAACATGCCAAAGCCAAATGCGTTGACAGTGTCTCAGTTCATGAACCAAACCTTTTTGCTGCCTCCTAGAGCATCTCGACTAGCTGGCAGACCTCGTCGTGTGAGGATCGAGTCTCAACATCAATAAAAAAAGTTTATCATTGTTCTTGTTGCTATGAAGTAGGTCATACGCGGAAGAGGTGTAGAAATCCAAATCCAAGTTGATGTTATTGTAAATGGGTTACCACATGAACTTAGATTTAGGTGACATAAACATAATGTTGTTTTAGGGTTTTTTTTGGCATATAGCAGCCCCTGTTTTGTAAATCCAAGTTGATGTTTTTATAACATGAGATTAGATCAACTTGGATTTGGTTGACATGTATAGGTTTATGTAGATATATATATTGGTATTATTAGGGGTTTTTTTGGTACATAGCAACCCTTCGTGTGTAAATCCAAGTTCATGCCTTTATGTATGTGGATAGCTTATATGTGCAGATGCATTAGATGAATTAATACATGTTTCTTACATGTACAGTTCATATCTTCTAGTTCGTCGATCCAAAATTTCATGTACAAGTTGCCAATTTTTTGTAAGGAAGTTGCAAAATTTGGTGTCTAAATTGCAAAATATTAGAATGATGTCCTAAAAGATTTAACTTTTGTAAGAATTTAATAGTTCTTCGATCCAAAATTTAGTGTACAAGTTGCAACATTTTCGTAAGGAAGTTGCAAACTTTGGTGTCTCAATTGCAAAATACTGGAGCTCTATTATAAAAAGAATAACTCTTGTGAGAATTAAATAGTTCTTCGATCCAAAATTTCGAGTATGAGTTACAAATGCTTCCTAAGAAAGTTACAAAGGTTGGTGTGTTAGTTGCAAAATATTGAAACATTGTCCTGAAAGAATAACTCTTGCAAGAATATAATAATTCTTCGATGCACAATTTTGCATACGAGTTGTAAATTTTTCCTAATGAAGTTGCAAACTTTAGTGTCTCAGTTACAAAATACTGGAACAATGTCCTAAAGGATTTAACTCTTGTAAGAATTTAATAGTTCTTCGATCTAAAATTTAGAGTATGAGTTGCAAAATTCTCCTAAGCAAATTACAAAATTTGGCGTCTCAGTTGCAAAATACTAGAATGTTGTCTTAAAAGATTTAACTCGTCAGAATTTAATAGTTTTTCGATTCAACATTTTGAGTATGAGTTGCAAATTTTTCCTAAGGAAATTGCAAAATTCAGTTTGTCAGTTATAAATTACTGGACCTTTGTCCTAAAAGATTTAACTCTTTTACAAATTTAATAGTTCTTTGATTCAAAATTTGGAATATAAGTTGCAAATTATTTTTAAGGACATCGCAAAATTTGGTTTGTCACTTGCAAATTACTGGAGCTTTGTCCTAAAGGATTTAACTCTTCAACAAATTTAATAGTTCTTCGATCTAAAATTTCGAGTACCAGTTGCAAATTATTTCTAAGGACATTGCAAAATTTAGTTTTTCCCTTGCAAATTACTAGAGCTTTGTCCTAAAGGATTTAACTCTTCTACAAGTTTAATAGTTTTTCGGTTTAAAATTTAGAATATAAGTTGCAAATTATTTCTAAGGATATTGCAAAATTTGGTTTGTCACTTGCAAATTACTGGAGCTTTGTCCTAAATGATTTAACCATTCAACGAATTTAATAGTTTTTCGATCCAAAATTTCGAGTACCAGTTGCAAATTGTTTCTAAGGACATTGCAAAATTTGGTTTCTCACTTGCAAATTACTGGAGCTTTGTCCTAAAGGATTTAACTCTTCAACGAATATAATAGTTCTTCAATCCAAAATTTCGAGTACCAGTTGCAAATTGTTTCTAAGGACATTACAAAATTTGGTTTCTCACTTGCAAATTACTAGAACTTTGTCCTAAAGGATTTAACTCTTCAATGAATTTAATAGTTCTTCGATCCAAAATTTTGAGTACTAGTTGCAAATTATTTCTAAGGACATTACAAAATTTGGTTTCTCACTTGTAAATTACTGGAGCTTTGTCCTAAAGGATTTAACTCTTCTATGAATTTAATAGTTCTTTGATTCTAAATTTTGAGTACCAGTTGCAAAGTTTGCCTAAGGAAGTTGCAAAATTGGGTCTCTTAGTTGCAAATTATTGGAGTTTTGTCCTAAAATAATAACTTTGTTGAGAATTCATTACTTACCCCACCCAAAATTTTGACACACAGTTGTGACATTGGCTACATATAATTTATTTGGTTGCTTGTTCAGCTTGCTTGATAGTCACAAAGAGTATTTTATTTAGAAAATTCCATGATTCATTTGTTACATTAAATTGGATCACCATATGATTAAAGTAATATAAGTATCAGCCCGGCTGTATCAATTAGCAGAAAATACATGTTATTTTATTTGCAGCCAAAAATTCTATTCTTATACGCCCTGCAATGTATTGGTAAAAATATTCTTATAAGCCCTAAAATTTGGATACAGCTTCAAATTCAATTAAGCATGTCCTCACTTGCACAAATTACATAGTCCACCTTTAGCTAAAACACTTAAGGGAAAAAAATTAAAGAAGAGGCAATTTCTACAAAATTAGAATGGTGAACGTTGATGAGGAGCAGGACCTTCAACGAGGCAAATGCATCACACCCATCAAAGATTAATGATGAAAACATGTCACAGATTAAAAATTCATCTACACTTCTTTCCTGCCCTCTTTAGTTGATTAGCTGCTAAGACAGAGGCAAATACTTCATTTCTTGTGTGATTTACCAACCACCACACCACATCCACCCTAAATTGTCTCAGTTGTTCATAAAAAAAAAACATAAAGAAAGTTTAAGTTTCACATTGATAATTGAAAGAAAAAAAATTAGAAAGATTGTGGATCACATATACATACGTTTGAAAAGTCCTCCATGGTCAGTCCTCCTTTTCTTCTTCTACCATCCCATTCTGGAGTGTAGGCATCCTAATTATTAAAGACTCTAAAACCTATATATATATATATATATGAATGAATGGATCATGAGATATATATAATTACAAAATAATATATTGTTGGGATGTATACAACACTTAACTTTTAAATAGGTTTCAAGTGCTTGGCAAAACTAAAGAATGCACATACCAAACACCACCTAAAAGATTCTTCATATTTCAATATATTTCATCATATTTTGGCTACTGTAATCATAAATGGGTAGGGTACCAATGCACACATTATCTATCTCATACTGTAACAAACTTAAAACCTCACATAAAAGGAAACAAAACAAACATAGAAGACTGCATAGAAGATATGAACAAGAACCAGGTCTTACAAACTTAGAACCTTCAAAGTTACACATATAAAAACAGAAAATTATTTCAGTAGCAGGACATAAGCCTACTACCTTGCTTCTTTATGCCCTGACAAATAAGCTTCCCACCTAATTATCACCGATGCAAGTCCAAAAAAAAAACTGGTTAAAATTAAACTAATAAATTGAAAGAAAGTAAGTAGTAACAAGAAGAATTTCATTAATAAAGCCTAGCAAATTTGCTCATGGTCAAAGGGCAGAACAAACATGCATGTCCACAAGAAGAGAGAAGCTGGACTTTTGCAAAGAAAAATTGACAAAAACACAAACAAGTTTTGGGCGAGAAAGATTGTACTAACAAAACCTAAAAAATCACCTTCTTTTCTTTGATAGTTAAAAAAAAAGTCTCTTTTTGCAATAAATTCTCGAAACTATTTCTTTTTGTGTTAAATTCCTAATCCAAAAAAAGGATCTTTAGTAGAATAAAGACTCACAGGAAACAGGCATAAAAAACACACCTTAAATTATAGGGAGTGAGAGTGATGCTAGTGAAGGCTGGCCGTTTTATAGCCTAATGTTTCCAGTCAACACTGAATAAAGAGGTGGGAACTAGACACTCCCTTCAAATGGAGGAGGGATGTTTCCTTCCCCTAAGGGGGCGGGGTGTTTTTTTTTTATGTTGGTAGGGGGAGAGGCTGGGTCCAGGAAGGAAGAGGAAGATAAATTCACTAAACTACTCATGAAGAAGCAGAACAGATTGATAAAGAGACATTTGTATGGAATTGCCCAGAAGAAGTGAAGCAGATTGAAAATTTATTTCCATCCATTGAACATTAAAATATTTGCATGCATTGGTGAAGAGAACTTAAATATTGTCAGCATTTCCTTAGATTGAAAAATTATTTGCAAAGAAGAAGCACAACAGATTTGCACAACTGAGCATTAGTAAATTGTACACTAAAATGAAAATCATTGCTCCACACAAATGTAGTATCTAAAGAGAACAACTATAATCACGTCATTCA